CAATCAATAATACAACCAATAATATAATAATAACAACATACAGCTGTTATACAGATGTGACTGGAATAAATAGATTATTGTAAATATACACAGGTCTGATATTAATATTGATTGTAATGTGAAACTGAACAGTAACAGAAAGTGACAACAACAACAACAATGGGAGCAGCAGTCTGTAGAATAATAAACAAGACTATAGTTATTATTATAATAGTGGCTGCTCCCAGTGCTCCCAGTGCTCCCAGTGCTCCCAGACAGGAACTATATAAGGTGCACCTTACCTGTAATGTTACTGACAGTTGGCGTTCAGGTGGATCAGGAACCAGATGAAGTTGTCCCCGTGCTCTCGCTGTATACCAGCTTTATAGTTATATACGGCGTTATTACACACTGATGAATAAACCATTTATTACATGTTTATAGCTGATTATATCCATGAATATCTCTAATAATGGACTGATGCTGTTTCCTGTGTGTCTGTGTATGGATGAGGGTCGGTGTGACCTTTATGTCCCATCCTCCGGTTCTGGTCCTCCCTGTGACTGTGGTCTCTATATAACTGATTAAAACACTAATATTGCCTCATTGATGGTAAAAGAAGGTGTAATTGTTCCAATAACGTTTCATTTTCCACAGTGATGTTTGTGTAAAGGTCGGGGACAGAAAATGGTATTTTATTGTGAAAGGTCAGGCTTTCTGTATTGATGTGTGAGGCTGATCCAGGTTCAGTTTGTGCTCACTGAGACCTGATTGGTCAGAATGAGTTACAGCCAGCAGACAGCAGGGGGAGCTCCTCATCATGCTTTTATTCTGACAGCTCATCAGCTCCTTTCACCTACTGAGGATGAGGATGATGAATACTGAACATTTGTATGAAGACGATGCAGTTCAGTTATTCTTTCTTTATTAGATTCATTCTTATTTTAGTTTAAATATCAGTTTGGAGAAATGCTGCATATAATAATATAATATATAATAATAATGTGCTGTTCCACAGTCTGTGGGCAGCAACAGTCACCGAAGCCTAATCCCTTATTCTAACTCCAGAGCTGCAGTCGTCCAGGCGGGAGGATATAAAGGAGGTTTCATTTTGGTGTGAAGGTGGATAAAACAAACTTTAACTACAGCACAGACTCATCTTAAAGGTGGAACCAAATATCACAGCACGGTATATGACGGGAGGTTTAACGAGGGCGGACCGGTTGCCCAGACTGTTGGTAATCACCTTGATGGATTCAGGGGGTACACAGAGAAAGTTTGGAGCCATCCAACACTTTATGTCATCAAGACCGTTCATGAGACTGGAAGATACAGTTGTGTGTCGTCAGCATATCAGTGGAAGGAAACCTTGTTGGACCCCCGCAGGAGAGACCGGAGGCTGGTGGAGAGGACGGACCGCCTACGGTGATGGAGAAGCTTCTGTCTTTGAGGTAGGATGTGAACCAGTTCAACCCTGTACCGGGGGTCTGGTAAAGTCTGATAGAATACCATGATCCACTGTATCAGAGGCCGCACTGAGGTCAGAATCAGGATGGCACGGTCCCGAGAGTCGACCGAGAGGAGCAGCTCGTCCACCGCGTCCAGGAGGATCTGAGCGAGCTAAAAAGGTTTCTGTCACCAGTAAGAAGTCCAACGTACGGGCGGTGAAGAAGTCGTTGAGGATAAAGGTCTCATTGGATTACAGGAGGGGAGGCTGCAGGAAAGTGGGTCCAGGACGCAGGGTAGCTCACCTGGTAGACTGAGTCCTTATCGCAATGTCCTGGGTTCGAATCCAACCTGTGGCTGCATGTCGTCCCCCTTTCCTGTCCATCTTCACCTGTCACCACTGATCCAATCAAAATAAAAGCAATTAGAGAAAATGGTCGACCAGAGTTCCCACAGATCACCAGATGCTGGAAGGAGTAGTGCCGGTTGTTCCCCGTTGTTTATTATCTTATTAAGATGAGATGAGATATTAGATATTCCTTTATTTGTCCCACAATGGGGAAATTCCGATGTTTGCGAGCGAGCAAAGTGGATAGAGAGAAAAAACAGTATACCAAACAGGTAAGGAGGGTAGGATATAAATAATATATGGAAGAACATATGTACAAGGAGAAAGAGAAAGAAGAATCTACAAAAGCAACAGATAGACACAAGAAATAGTACCGTTATCATGGTATTGGTTATTATTGTTATTATTATTATCTTATTAGTTGTATTTGTTTGTTATAGATTATTGTTATTATTGTTATAGGAGGTCTCTGCCTCCCTCTCTTCTCTCGAAACACAAT